CTTATTACTGGGCCCTGGCCCTCCCTCACTGGCATCTCTTGCTTCTGTTGAAGGAAGGCTTCTGTGCTATCTGAGCCCTGGTTCATTGCTGTCTGGGCAGTTGTGGGAGGTAGAAGGGACCTGGAAGGCTGGTAGGGGAAGCTTCTTATGCACGAGTTCCTCTAAAAATGTTAGCAGGTCTTATCTGAACCCTTGGTACACCATGTGTCTATCACCAGGCTCTCCATGTGTCTATCATATCACCTAAGTGTTTCTACCTTATAGTCTAAGTGAACCAGAAGGAAGGAGGCCTCAGAGGTAACTTTTTTTTTCTTCTCCTTTTAAAGCAATGCTCTTGTTTCCTGTTTACACCAGCACCACAGCCCACTTGGGAAATGGCTGCAGGACTGTGGGAGGATGGGCAGTGACTGAGATAGAATCTGAGAGATAGGGTCTGCTCTATTCAACCTCTGATCTGGCTCCTTGGTTGAAAAGAAAGGGAGGAGGAGGGGATGCCTGGGAGCTGAGCTGAGCTTGCAGCAGCTTGAGCTTGAGTTTGAGCTTGCACCTTTCCCCGCTACTGGGTGCTGGTCCCAGAGTTCCTGAGCTGGATCCTTAGACCGTCAGCTAGCAGAGAGAGGGGATGAGAGTGGGCACTGGTCTGGCTTTGTTACAAGGGTTGCTGCCGAGGCAGGGGCCTGTCAGACCTGGCACATAAACTGGAGATCTGAGCTGATTTTGTCATATGCTTAGTGCAGTCCAGACAACTGTAGTCCATGGTAGGTTAAGATGAATTAATTAGTGTATTAGTCCAGTAAATCTTTGGGTTCGTACTGTGTCCCAGGCACAGCTTAGAGTGGTGGGAATCAAGAATTCCAGGGTCACTGACCCACCACTGTGTCTGATGTGTATGTGACGTTTTTACCACATTCCCCAGCTGGCAAAGCCTCAGTTATATACATGTTTTGATAGGTTTCTCATAAAGCAGGCACAGGAAAGAAAAGATGAACGAGGTAAATAGAAGTAAGTTCTAATGTTTCCTTCCACACCTCGGTGAACTGTGCTGCACACATCCTATGTCAGGAAGTGTTGGTAGGTACTGCTGCCTGTGTTTCAGACTTCCACCTTTATGGGAACTTTGAGAAGTGGATCATTTCTGAGTTGGGGCCACCTGTTGGAATGGAAGACAGGAAAGAGGAAGCAAGGTAGGCAGATGCTGAGTTCACAGAATTGATTAGCACATGGGCCCTAGCAAGACTTGATAAGCACTGTTCTTTCTCCACTCCACCGTCCTTGGGAAGGATGCCCAGGTTGCCTGGGATGGGTGTTTAAGGTTCTTGGGCTCCTGTGCTGTGTGCCGTGATCAGCGTACTGGAGAATGGGGGTAGGATGGAATTCAGCAGGTCCCTGTTGCTCTTCAGTCCCTTTGTAGTTTTAATAGACTTTCACTGGTGTTGCATTTGATCATTCCAGCAACCATGTGAGGTAGGGGGCGCTTTCCTCAGGGGGAAGACCAGGGACTGGAGGCCTGTGCTGTGAGTGTAATGAACACCAGGGCTGGGAATTGACTGGCTGCCTCTGCTCCTGCAGAAGGTCTTTCTTGGCATCTGCCTGTCTTTCCATCCCCTGGAGGAGCAAAGCAGTGAAACGCTTGACATCTCTGATTCTTGGTCCTCACATGTGCCACTTTCTCCTGGGCAAAACCTTGGGCTCCAGGTTTTTGACTCCTCCTGGGTCCACGACAGAAGCTGCTGCCAGCATTCCTCCTCACTGAGGCATAAGCAGCCCAAGTGGAAGGCCCTGCCCCCACACAGGGAGTAGCCGGAACAGCGCAGGGTTTCCAGGTTCTCTGAGGCTTCTGTTCCTTCGTCTGCTCTCTTGGCAGCCACACCTGGAGCCCTGAGAGTTGGCTGACTTGCCTCACCCTGATCCATGTCTTCCCAGGTTGTGCCCTCTCCTCCTGCACAGGGGTTTGCCCTTCTGCCTTTTTCGACTCAGTTTCAGCTTGTGGGAGAGAGGTTATCTGTGTAGGTGTTTGTCTTCTTCTCCAAGGACACCTCCAGTGAAGGGCTCTGAGGATCTTATTCAGTGGCCTGGGCTGAGGCCCAGGACCCTGGCTTTACTTACTTGCTTTTAAAAGTGAAGTTGCTCAGTCGTGTCCGACTCTGCGAGCCCATGGACTGTAGCCTACCAGGCTCCTCTTTCCGTGGGATTTTCCAGGCAAGGGTGCTGGAGTGGGTTGCCATTTCCTTCTCCAGGGGTTCTTCCCAACTAAGAGATTGAACCTGGGTCTCCCACGTTGCAGACAGACACTTTACCATCTGAGCCACCAGGGAAGCCCTTACTTGCTTAAAGGCAGGTGACAACTGGAAAGTTAATCTCCTTCAGGCTTATTTCTTTAGTTTACTTCATTTCTTGGTTCATCCCAGGCCTGATGTCTTGACAATAACACAGTCACTGTCTTTGTGACATTTCTCTGTGTCCTTTTACTGCTTTCTGCTTCAGGATACCTCTCTTCACTGCACCTCTTCCTAGTAAGGAAGGAGAGGAGTCAGATACGGTGTTATTTGGGCTGACGTTTGTAAAAGGGTCTGCAAGGTCCAGAGACTTAGTACCAAGCCAGAGCTCCCTGCCCCTCCCCTGCAGGGGCTCTGCCAGGGTTTCTTCCTGCCCTTCCTAGCTTGGGGAACGAGCAGCCTTTGTGAGTTTCCTTGACAACAAGATGAATAAGTTAAAAATAGCTGGTGCTAGAGCTCCTGTGTGTGTGTGTGTGTGTGCGCGCACACGCATTCGCAAGTGTTTGCGCCTACATACATACCCTCTCGCCTGCTGTTGTTAACTCAGTCCCTGTGGCTTCTACATACTGGTGGAGAACATCTGTGGGAGGCCTTGGTGGGGCCCTGTTACTCGCTCTTTGCAATTCTTTGGTTTAGAGGTCAGATCTAGATAATGCCATAGCATCGTTACCTCATATCCCTGATGGTCGCTGATGGGAAAAGGATGATAATGTTAGCCTGCAGCATGGAAATCTGTTCTGAATGCCTCTGTCTTCACTAAGTGCGACTGGAGAGAAAGAATCTCAGTTACACTTAGGGGCATTGCTGCATTTCAGAACCTTGTGGGGCAGTGGACTAGGACTCAGCTCTGGGTGTGTGTCTGGGTATGTCTTTCTGGAGAACCCCTGCACAGACGGGGAGGGTCCTTTCTGGTCTCCTTTTATTAGGTAAGGAAGTGGAGTACAGTACTTGGGTGACTTGTCCGCTGGCTCAGCCTGGTGGAGGAAGGAGCAGTGACCGCAGCAGCAGCAGCTGTGGCTCGTTCCCTCAGGTGCTACTGATGAGGACACCTCCATAATGTTTTTTTTTTGTTTTTTGTTTTAAATTGAAGTATAGTTGATTTGCAGTGTTATGTTAATTTCTGCTGTACAGCAGAGTGACTCCCTAAGTTCTTTACCAAAGCCCCCTGTTTCTGTATCAGCAATCCTGTAGTGGTTAAGCCTTCTGTTTTGTGGTGTTATCTCAGTTGTAAGTTAATTTAGAAACAGCTGTCTCTATGAGAGCAGGGCTGCTTTGCCATAGCTGGAAAAAATTCCTCTCTTTCTCCACTATCTTCCATGTATTTGTCAGCATCTGTGTGCCAGGCATGAGGATATCTTGTCTTTAGGGGCCTTATGGTCAGTTGGGGCAGCAGACAATTACAAAATCTCCCACCAACACCCCACTGTGGCCAGTGCTGAGCAAGAGGGAAGAGGTCTGATTGTAGGTGAGAGGAGGACTGAGGTGGGTTGTTAGAGTTTAGAGGAGACTGGGGGAACATGTCAGTGATACAAAGTACTTAAATTTGGAACATATTTAAAAACTCCTACACATAAAAAAAAGCAAGGAAACCCAGTAGAAAACTGACCAGTGACTTGACAGGCACTTCACAAAAGAAGACATCAAAATGGCCAAGAAATGTGTGAAGTGGTGCTCAATTTCATCTATTTATTAGTCACTAAGGAAATTCAAATTGTTCAATTTGAAAAAAAGATACAACTTTTTGTTTGTTCGTGTATGTAATGAAATCTTTGATGATTTGGTGAAACATCCTGTTGCCATTACCAGTTTACTTTGTTTCTGAATCACTTAACTGAAGAATAAAATGGATTCTGAGATGCTTAAATAAAAGGAAATGTAATGGAATGAACACATTACAGTCAGAGACCTGTTATAGAAGATTTGGGGCCAACTATTGAATTTCTCAGAGCCCCTGTTTCTTCGTTTATAAACAGTGATCTTTCTATCTGCCTTTCCTTCCTTCCATAACTGCTCAAATGTTCACAGATATGGGAAATACTCTCGAAATTCTGAAGGGCTACTCAAATACTATGTAGTATCATGGCTTTGATTTCAAGTGATTTAATTTCTCCTGCACCTCTTCTCACGGCATCTATTCTAAATTCTCCTAAGAAATAAAAGCTTGGTACTTTGGATGGAGGACCTGTTGCTGGCATGCTCTGGCCCATTCATACAGGCTGAGGAGCAGGGTGAGTTCCTGCAGGCATTTCCTTACATGACTGTGACCTGGTGGCAACTCTGTGAGTGACATTGAAGTGTCTGCTGACAACCAGGCCTGGTGGCAGGGGGAGGGCAGTGGCACACACCAGTCCTGGTGAAGTGTTGACTAGAGTTAGTGGTCCCATAGGGCTTCCGCACCTGACTGGGGCTGGCCTCCTCACGTGGTGGTTGGTCTTGTGAAGCCTGGAAGTAACACCATGGGTTTTCGGGAGCTCTGTTGCAGGGGACAGTAGCCTGCACACCCAGCTTCCCTCGAGAGAGCCTGTCCAGAGTCACTAGTTGTCCTGTAGCTCCAAGAGTCCACAGCTTATTGTGGTATTGTGGCAGAGCAGGGGCTATTCCCTGTGTGACTTAGGTGTTGGTGGAGAGGCCTTTTCAAAGGTAGATGGGTCCTTTTGGATGTTTACACCCAGTATCCTACCCAGTGCTTTTGATCTTTCCCACTTCTGTTTTTCTGCTGTGCAGGAGTCAGAGTCAGAAGCAAAGGTAGATGGAGAGACTGCATCGGACAGTGAAAGCAGAGTGGAAGCTGTTTCCCTACCACCCTCTGCAGATGATACCCCAGAGGTTCTCAACAGGGCGCTTTCCAGCTTGTCTTCAAGGTAGCTTGGCTTACTCATGCAGATGCTTGCCGGGAGCTCTGGGTCTCCAAGTGTCATGGAAGACCTGAAGCCCTTAGAGAGCCCACAGTCTTGTAGCAGGAGCCCACATCTGTTAAAGTGTGAGGCCCAGACCTGCCACTTCATTGGTTATAGTCTCCCCTGCCTCTGCTTAAGGCTCCACTGAGTGTCATTGAGTACTCAGCAGTGACTACAAGCACAACCTGAGTGGATCTGGCCCTTGAAGGATACCCTAGGCTGGCTGGGAGGTACTGTCCAAGGAGCAGGAATACATGGACATAGGAGTAATCACTGATAGAACACATGAAGATAAATGGTCCTTGGGGTTTGTGACTAATGGGCAGGCTGCTTTCCACTGAGGAGCCTAAATCTCTAGTTCAGAATTCAGTTTTCCTTCTCCCCACACGTCTATTTTTTACAGTCCTTTAATTCTCCTGTAGGAATTAAGAAACATTTCAACTTTGGTGAATTCAGACTTAAAATTTTGGTCCCTTGAGATTCTGGTCCTTCTGATTCCAGCTGTGTGGGCAAACTCTAAGACCCCAAAACATTATATAAAAGTGTGCCTGGGCATGCCTCCCACACAATTGTCCTTTTGAAAGGCTGTATTGTGCAGCAATTAGGATTACAGGTTCTGGAGCCAGATTGGCTCCCAGGGTTCAATTCCCAGCTTAAGCACTTCACAGGGTATCATCTGTACATCCACTTCCTCATCTGTAAAAGCTAGTAGTATTGAGGGTTAAATCAGTTAATACACATGAAAGTCCTTGTAGAAGTGCCAGGTGCATATGTGCCAGGTGTGATAGCTGTTACCACCACTGTGTTTGATACTGCTATTACCATAGTGATGCAGGAGCAGAGAAATGTAGGATTCTGCTGCAACAAAAGTGTTAATAGTTTTTTCTCAGAGATGCCCATAGAAGCCATCTAAATAGATACATAGGGTGGGGGGGGGGGCAGGCAGACATTATATTTCCCTTGGGATTTTTGCCTGCTTCCTTCATTAAAAAACAAGTTGGGTATATTTTTATGCAAGCCTTGAGCACTTGCTGAGTTTAGTGTAGATAAGGTGATGGCTCTAATGAGGTGAGGTGACCTGCTTCTTCCAGCATATAGCTACTGCCTCTGTCAAGATGAAAGACATACTCCTGGAAAGCATTGACCTCAGAGCCCTCTTCTCCCAGAAAGAACCACCCACCTTGAGCTTGTGCTTCAGTTCTTTCGGGCTCCTAACATGTTTTCTCCTTCCCTTCCTCTCTAACTTAGATGGAAGAACTGGTGGGTGAGAGGCATCCTGACCTTGGCGATGATTGCATTTTTCTTCATTATCATTTACTTGGGACCAATGGTTTTAATGATGATTGTAAGTGCCATTTACTTGCTATTTTAGTTTTACCTTCAGTTTTCCCTGCATGTCTAGTCATTTTAAGTGCCAGGTGTTGGTTTGGTTCTGGGAATCACTTGAGGTCCTGGCTGCTCAGACCACATCCACCTTAGAATAGCTATGATTTCTCACCTTCCAGCAGCCAACTGGAGGGCCATTGGCATGGGCCAGTTGTAGGTGATTAAAGAATCACTTTAAAATTTGATTTTAGTACTTCAGCTCTTTGGTCAAACTGGGAACCTGGCTATGATTCTGTGTGACTCTTGATTTTGGTTCTTGTTTTCCTGGGGCCTCCCTCATAAGTTTGGGACTTTTGATACAAAATTCCAATCCACAGTACTTTGTTCTGAGTCTTCCCATTGTCATAGACACAGCATCAAATGACTATACAACTCATGACTTAGCAGAGCAGTTTGGGACTTTTCAAATATGTATTTTTATTCAGAGTCAAAAATGGAAGAGATTGAGTCCTGGGGGATTCTACAATAAAAAGTTAATCAGAGTTTCAGAAGCATGTATTTATTGTGAGAAATTGGATCTGCTCTGTGTGACATAAAGGGCCTCCCAACCCTGTTGAGTGATGTGAGAGAAAGGAGGGGAGCAGAAATCACTGGAGGACTGACATTGTTCTTAAATATAATGGTTTTTCTTGAAGGCCTATGACCTGTTGGTTTCTGTTTCCACAGATCATAAGAACTGAGGAGATAGCAAGTGTTTTAATTCTTTTGTGTCCTGCAGGTGATGTGTGTTCAGATTAAGTGTTTCCATGAGATTATCACTATTGGCTACAATGTGTACCACTCCTATGACCTGCCCTGGTTCAGAACCCTCAGCTGGTAAGCTCTCTAGCCCCACAGAGACCTTTAACTGGTTTGGACAAAGGTTTTGTGGTAGGTAGTTACAGTCGTGGTTGGAGGGAGGGGTTGATGGCCATGGACCTTCACAGCACCTTTGAGACCAAAGTATTGCCTAGGCCAGACTGAGTGGCTGGCTTGGAAGGAGTGGTTCTTCCTTAGAAGAATCCAGACCAGCTGCATCTGTGACCATATTTGCATCAATATTTGGATTCCTTAGACTGCACAATGGCCCCCGTTTTCTAGATCAGTACATTTTTCGTGCTCTGGTATCCCAGCATCCCACAAGTCATCTGGGAGTTGTCAACGCTGGTGTTGCTGTTTCTGGAACTTGGCTTGCTCATCCTTAAAACAGATAGTAGTGACCTAGTCAGTGCTTTTCAACCTGTGGTTTTGGAGTCCTAGTTCCTTGGAGGTTCCTTGGGTGCCAGTGGGCAGGAGTGACACTGAATGCAAGGGATCTGGGCTCCCCAGAGGAGCTCAGTTTTCTCCTCCTAAGAAAGGGCTTGGATGTCCTTAGGTTTTTTTTCTTTTTTTTTTGCCTGTGTTATGTGGCACGTAGGATCTCAGTTCCCTGCCTAGGAATTGAACCTGGGTCTGGCCAGTGAGAGCAAGTCCTAACCATTGGCCTGCCAAAGAATTCTGGGCTTGTCTGTCTTGAAGCCAAAACAAAACCTGTAGTGCAGATGATGTCCAAGACACCTTCCTGATCTGAAACCTTTGCTGTATTGACCACACTCTTCCGAGGTGGTGACGTGTGAACAGAGCATTGTGTAGTCCTGAGAAGACTTAGGGCAGATACAGACCCCTCTCACTCTGCTGTGCTGGGTCTTGGGCATGGATTTCATAACTTACCAGGCCAGAGAGTAGTGTTTTGGGCCCCAGCCACTTGGTTATGGCCAAGGGAGCTGACACGCTCATACTTGGGCTGGACACATCCTTCTCAGAGATGCTTCCTTGTCACCGAGCAGCATAAGCTGCCTTGCAGTCACCACAGGGCCTGTGCCTGCCCCCTGGGTTAAGATGTAGGTTTCTCTTGTGGGTCTCCTATAGCTGGAAAGCAATGTTATGAATTTTATTAACATATTCAGAATGTTTGACCCCTGACTGTGGTCACTGTTCAAGGGAAGTGTTTTTCATGTAAACAAAGCTTGTTTGGGAGTTCTTGAACTTCCACAATTTAAAAAAAAAAATGGAAGAGATAAGAGAAGCTCTCCCCTTTCTTTGATGTCTGGATATTTATTGAGTGTTTAGAGTTGGGTTGCTCATTCTCATACTCAGAAACACTAGTGAGGCTGCACATGTATATGGACCATGGCCTCTCCCTCCTTGGAGCTCCCTCTAGTTGAGGAGAGGTTATAAACAAGTGACAAATTAATGCTAGTGAAAGATTTGTGTGTCAGAGCCGGGCATCAGAGAGGAAGACAGTCTGAGATGAAGCATAATTAATTGCTTAGTGAAAAGAGCAAGTATTTTGCACCATAGAAGTAAAGGCAGGGGAGGCAGATACCACATTCGATCATGCAGGGTTTTATGAAGACAATGGTATTTGAGCAGTGAGTGATAAAGTGGGTAAGTGAAGAGGATGTTCCAGGAAGGGAGAAGAAAGGAACCAAGCAGACAGACAGAAAGCCAGAGAAATTTCATTTTGATAAGCATGCAGAGTTCCTAACAGGAAGAGTGGAATGAGGTACCTTTCTGGGGGTTGTCTTACAGATTGAGTGTTGTTAGACCTGGCAGTGCTATAGAAGGGGCAGAAACTGGATCCCAAGTTTGTGATAAATGGAGAGTGAATGAAAGCCACAAATTTCTAGATAAATACCTCACCTACAGGGTCACCAGAGGACAGGGGTCTGTGGTCTGCCTGTCCTGCTGTGGGCTGCCTGGGGCGTTCTTAGGTGTTGGGTGGACTGCTTCTCTGGTCCTGACAGCCTTGCTGTAAGGGAGGGGCCACGTGTGCTCCCTTTGGCAGTGATCTGTTTTCTTTAACAGGTACTTTCTGCTGTGTGTAAATTATTTCTTCTATGGCGAAACAGTGACAGATTACTTCTTCACTCTGGTCCAGAGAGAGGAGCCTCTGCGGATTCTCAGTAAATACCACCGGTTCATTTCCTTTACTCTCTATCTAACAGGTATGTGTTAAGCGGCTTGCCAGTTGTTGCGTATGTCTTGTTTTTGCATATCTGCTGAGTTGGAGTTGGGACATTTCTTGCTTCATAGAGTTTTGATGACTTAACTCTGACCACACAGGGAAGCAGAACTAAGGACTCTGCCTTCCATGAGCTGGAGGAGCTCTTTACTAAGAGAAATGAGGCTGAGGGCCTTGTGTGGTGGTGGCGGCTGTAGTCTGTGCCACCTGTCCATGTGTTTCAGCCTCTGTTGAAGGACCCCATAGCATTGTTGTGTCCTGACTCTCTTGTTGGCAGAGATTCTGCAGTGTGACCAGAACAAAACCATCCAGAAACTTGTATTTAAAAAAGGACTTTTCATTGACATATACATACTAGTGTATATAAAACAGATAACTAATAAGAACTTACTATCTAGCACAGGGAACTCTGTAATGGCCTCTATGGGAAAAGGATCTAAAAGGTGGATGTATGTATATGTATAACTGATTCACTTTGCTGGACACCTGAAACTGACACAGTGTTGTAAATCAACTATATTCCAATAAAAATTAATTTTAAAAAAGGGACACTGTAGTGCGTTAGAAATTTTATTGATTTGGATTTAAAAAGACCTGTGACTTCAGAAGAGCCAGGAACTTACTTTGAGTCTCAGTTAGCTCTCCTGTAACCTAGAGCTAAAATGGCAGAGTTACTATGAGGATTTGACAAGTTATATTGAAATTTGACAAACGGTAAACTGCTCCATCAATCTAAACTCAGTTGAGACAATACAGGAATTCAAATAATGCTAATGTTCTTCATGGTTACCCTGAAAACCAGTTTGAGGCATATGGGAAATTTGATCTGACTCTGACCTAAATTTCAATTTGACCTATTTTTTCATCAACTTGATAGTGATACTTGGCTCTCTGAATGATACCTGGCTACTGAATATGAAGTCTACTGCTGAGAGGTCTGATGTGTTGAGGACAGTCAGAAAGCATGCCTCAGCCTGGAAGCAGCCCCACAAAGGGAGGCCAGAGGTCTCGAACAGTGATATGCTCTCTTCTGGGCAGGGCTTTTGGGGGACCCAGCACACTTGTGGGTAAAATCCGTTTTCTTGCTAGAGGTTTTAGTCATGTGGGTCAGTAGGAAAGCGATACAGGGATGACCTTATTAGCCTTATACCATGTGGATCCCCATTCTGCCAGACCTGTTCTTTAGGATAGAGATTGGTTTCTTAAGGTCCAGATAATAATATTACAGGTTTTGGGGGCTATGGAATCTCTCCTGCAGCTCCTTAGTTCTGCTGTTGTAGCACAAAAGAAACCCTGGATAACATGTAAACAAATAGTTATGGCTGTGTTCTTATACAAGTTTGTTTATAAAAACAGGCAGCTAACCTCGATGATGAGTTGCCATGCTAATAACTGAGCTACCAGCTAGGGCAGTGTTGCCGTGCTTTGGGTGCCGGTGAGTTTAACAACAACAACAAAATACTGGCAGCCGGCCTGACCATTATCAGCTCCTGTTCTAGAATCAAAACATGTCTATCTGGTGAACAGTATCCTAAGTTGAGTGTAATCTGTAAAATTTTAAAATATTGGCTTCCTTTGATTGTCTTGAAGTAGTCATTTTTCCCTTCTGACTGCCTATCTGAATAACTGATTTTATTCCCTAGGGCAATGGATTTGTGCCCTGGTTAGCTGTTGCCAGGAAATTAGCCAAGGACCATATGACACAGCTAAAGGAAATGACTAGGACAAAGATAAATGCAGAATGTGATTCATTTTGCCCTTTTTCTTCCTTCCTTCTCAAATTAGGATTCTGCATGTTTGTGCTGAGTCTGGTCAAGAAGCATTATCGATTGCAGTTCTACATGGTAAGGGTAGTGTCAAAATGTGTCAGTGTCAAAACTCTTGATATAAGTGAAATTCTGCGGAAACTCCACAGGCCTATCATCCTTTCGGTGATAAATCAGAACTTTGAAATGTAGTCTGTTCTTGTGCATCTGAAACCTGGAGGGTGAAAGAGGCATCCCCTGTGAAGTTTGGTGGCTTCTTATCCACCTAGCCTAAGCACTGTTATATACCGTAAGCAGTCTCTCCCATCTGGATCTGAGTGTGGCCTCTAGGTAAGGCTCTAGGTGACACCTTAGACATAGACCATAGATATCCTCCCTGCTGTATTGTTCCCTCAACTTAAAAACACCCCCTCTCTGAGTGTCCTAATCTCTCAGTAAATACTAAGAAAACAAGAAGTACCCAGGCTTTTGGAGCATAAAAGGACTAACTAGTGGGCCACGTGCACCCTCTTTTTGTTGGGAACTGTAGCTGGGAAACATAGTTCTTCTCGAGACCTGTTCTGTAGCTTCTCATTTCCAATAAGACAGATAGAGAAGCAGGTATCTTTCCTACCTGTTTCTCAACAATTTTCTGTTTGGTATTAGCTATTATTTGAAGTTCCTTTCAAGGTAAACTGATAGGTAACATTTATCCTTTATCTTCTTTTGCAGTTTGGCTGGACCCATGTAACATTACTGATTGTTGTAACACAGTCACATCTTGTTATCCACAACCTATTTGAAGGAATGATCTGGTGAGTGATGTTAGTGAGGGGTATTTTTCCTTTTATTTGTGGGTGTTCTTATGTATAGGAGGACTGAGAAACCCCATTTGCTAAGTTGGCAGTTCTCACCTGAGCATATCAGCAGCACCTGCAGGCCTAGTTACAACACAGATTGCTGGGCCCCACTTTTGATTTTCTACCTCAGTAGCTATGGGGTGAAGCCTGAGAACTCCATTTCTAGTACATTCTCAGGTGATGCTGATGCTGCTGGTCAGGACCTACACTTTGAGAACCACTGTTCTAAACCAACAGCTATAGGGATATTTAAAGAGTCCAGGACAGTGCAACTGTACAGCAACAAATATGGAAATCTAGAAGAAACAAATCATTTCCTGGCAAGGACACCGAGTATAAGTCACAAAGAAGAAAACTTGAACAGATCAATAATTATAAAAGAGCTTTGAAAATTCCATAAGAATCTACACCTGGAAAAAATGAGCAGTGATAGCAACTGAGTATTTATTTATTTACTTATGACTGCACACAGGCTTTCTCTAGTTTTGGCGAGTCTTATGACCTGCCTCTTGAGAAACCTGTATGCAGGTCAGGAAGCAACAGTTAGAACTGGACATGGAACAACAGACTGGTTCCAAATAGGAAAAGGAGTACATCAAGGCTGTATATTGTCACCCTGCTTATTTAACTTATATGCAGAGTACATCATGAGAAATGCTGGGCTGGAAGAAACACAAGTTGGAATCAAGATTGCCGGGAGAAATATCAATAACCTCAGATATGCAGATGACACCACCCTATGGCAGAAAGCTAAGAGGAACTAAAAAGCCTCTTGATGAAAGTGAAAGAGGAGAGTGAAAAAGTTGGCTTAAAGCTTAACTGTCAGAAAAATAAGATCATGGCATCTGGTCCCATCAGCTCATGGGAAATAGATGGGAAGACAGTGGAAACAGTGTCAGACTTTATTTTTTGGGGCTGCAAAATCACTGCAGATGGTGACTGCAGCCATGAAATTAAAAGATGCTTACTCCTTGGAAGGAAAGTTATGACCAATCTAGATAGCATATTAAAAAGCAGAGACATTACTTTGCCAACAGAAGTCCATCTGGTCAAGGCTATGGTTTATCCAGTGGTCATGTTTGGATGTGAGAGTTGGACTGTGAAGAAAGCTGAGTGCCGAAGAATTGATGCTTTTGAACTGTGGTGTTGGAGAAGACTCTTGAGAGTCCCTTGGACTGTAAGGAGATCCAACCAGTCCATCCTGAAGGAGATCAGTCCTGGGTGTTCATTGGAAGGATTGATGCTGAAGCTGAAACTCCAATACTTTGGCCACCTCATGCGAAGAGTTGACTCATTGGAAAAGACTCTGATGCTGGGAGGGATTGGGGGCAGGAGAAGGGGACAACAGAGGATGAGATGGTTGGATGGCATCACCGACTCGACGGACATGAGTTTAAGTAAACTCCGGGAGTTTGTGATGGACAGGGAGGCCTGGCGAGCTGCGATTCATGGGGTCGCACATGACTGAGTCCTGTGCACGACTGAGTTGGACACGACTGAGCGACTGAACTGAACTGATCTAACCCTTAGTATTAAAGCTGATAAAAACACAGGGAGAAACAAGAATGATAAACTGATTTTTTTTTCATGATTATAGTTTTACCATTCTAAATAAACTATAGCAAATAGAATCTGGCAATGTGTCAAAAGAATAATATACTTAGTAGATTTTATTCCACAAATGCAATGAGTTCAGCAAGAAATCTATCACCATTGATAGTAATCAGTAGGTTGACTGAAGAAGCCATGCTTTTAATGAAAATGTGAAGACATATCCTAGTGTGTAGAGCCTCTTGATGAGGGTGAAAGAGGAGGGTGAAAAAGCTGGCTTAAAACTCAGTATTCAAGAAACTAAGATCATGGCATCCGGTCTCATCACTTCAAGGCAAATAGATGGAGAAAAAATGGGGACAACGACAGACTTTAGTTTTTTGGGCTCCAAAATCACTGCAGACCATGACTGCAGCCATGAAATTAAAAGACACTTATTTCTTGGAAGAAAGGCTAAGACAAACCTAGACAGCATATTAAAAAGCAGAGACATCACTTTGCCAACAAAGGTCTATCTGATCAAAGCTATAGTTTTTCCAGTAGTCATGTATGGATGTGAGAGTTGGACCATGAAGAAGGCTGAGCACTGAAGAATTAACTTTTGAACTGTGGTGCTGGAGAAGACTGTTTTGAGAGTCTCTTGGACAGCAAGGAGATCAAACCAGATTTCCTAAAGGAAATTAACCCTGAATATTCATTGGAAGGATGATGCTGAAGCTGAAGCTTGATGCTGAAGCCAGTTGATGCGAAGAGCCAACTCCTTAGAAAAGACCCTGAGTCTGAGAAAGATTGAGGACAGGAGGAGAAGAGGGTGACAGAGAATGAAATGGTTGGATGGCATCACTGACTCAATGGACATGAGTTTGAGCAAACTCCAGGAGATAGTGAAGAACAGGGAAGCCTAGCATGTTGCAGTCACAAAGAGTTGGTCATGACTTAGCCACTGAACAACAACAGAGATACTAAAGTACTATGATTTAAAAAAAATAATAATTAAAAAATTTTTTTTAAAAAGTACTGTGATTAAGATCCCGGACCATGCCTTTGTTTCCTGTTCTCAGAATGAAGATGCTGTCATACCTACTGCCTAAGGAATAAATTAGTGAAAATATATAAAGAGCTTAGAATATGTAAAGACTAGCTCATCTAAATGTTAACATTGAGTTTTAAGCCAGTTTTTTCACTCTCCTCCTTCACCCTCTTCAAGAGGTTCTTTAGAGCCTTAGGGCATTATCATGTTTAAAACAATGATAATGGCATACTGTGAGGGCATTATTATGTTTAAAACAATGGGAAGGCATATTCTTCCTCTCTTTCAGAGTGTTGTTAAGTGATTCCAAAGAGAGGCTTGTGCTAAATTCTTATCTTTAGGGCTAGACATAGACTTTGTTCTAGAGTGAATCATATTAAAATCTCTAATTATTGGTTTTTAGATGGAACATTCAAGACTTGATTACAGTTGTAGAGCAGAGAATATGTGGAAGCCTCAACAAAGTAAATAATATGGGTGGTTTGGTGGATATAGGTGCTTTAAATCTCTCCCTTAACAGACAGGGAGTCAGAAAAATAAAGCCTGTAGTTGAGGGGCTAGGATTTATGTATATTATGTTCAACTATAGAGGAAATTTTAAAAATTTTAAGAAGTGGCTGTCAGAGAATAGAGAGTGAGGAGAAGAGAGAGATGGTACAAGTGTGGAAACTCTCCCCCCTTTTTTTTGTGGTAGGGATGATCAGACCACTAGCAGAAGGAGGCAGAGGAGAAATCTGGCTCTGTGCACTTACGTATCAAATCTTGGTCTTGCTGTCTGTGTAGTCCTGGGGGGAAATTGGGATCATTAGAGCTAGTAATAAACAGTAAAAAAAAAAAAAAAATCAATTATGAAAGAGATAATAAATGTAACAGAATAATGGAGGTAACTACTAGAAGAAGACGAGTCAGAAATGATTAAAAGTAGTTATTTTGGAGAATGGAGATAGGAATAGGGGAAACAAGGACAATTTTTTTTTTTTCTGTATACTTAAAAATTTTATATTACTTTGTAGTGAAAAAGAACATGACATTTTATATAGAATACCACCTCCATTTATTCAGTAGTCATTCAGTAAACATTCGAATGCTGCTGTGTGCCAGGTGAAAGTGAAGTGAAGTCGCTCAGTCTGCTGCTAGGTACTCAGCAGCGTTTTTGTTCTTTTAAACTTATTCCTTAATGGGTAATAAGTACTGTTTGGTTATTTTGGTACGGAAATTTATGAATAGCATTGTTTTGTGGACTTTGGAGGTATCATCTTGGTAGAGTTGATTCTTACTTTGGTTTAATTTCCTAGGTTCATTGTCCCCATTTCTTGTGTGATCTGTAATGACATCATGGCCTATATGTTTGGCTTCTTCTTTGGTCGGACCCCACTCATCAAGGTAAACGGATCACCCTAACATGGACCATTACTGTGAGGCCGGGGTAGTGCTTTCAAGTAGATCAGCTTGGGAGACAGAAGAGATCTGCACGGCATGTACATCTTCATGTCATCCTGGAGAAAGGCTAGTAATAAATTAGATTCAAGAGAAAAGCCAAAGGCCAAAGGAAGACTTAACAATTACTCGTGGAAAAAAATAAAGAGCTGATAGAGAAAATATTTTATAGACTGTGTAGGTACACTTTTGGGGCTTTGATCTGAATTTGAATGTTGTCATTTAATTAGTTTACTGTTTTATAATTAAATTATTTGACTAATTGAAACAGAAAGGAAACTGAGGGCTGTCAGGCTATACAAGGAAACCAAGAATGGGGTATTTTAGAAAGTGAAGTGGTTAATTGAATGAATTTTTTTTAATAGTAGAAAGACTTTAAATAATCATTATTCCCAAAGCCAGAGTTAGTAAAATGCATTTTGTTAAGAACTTGCTCTCTGTCCACAGCTGTCCCCGAAGAAGACTTGGGAAGGCTTCATTGGAGGCTTCTTTGCTACTGTGGTCTTTGGCCTTCTGGTAGGTAGGGGCTCCCAGCTGGGTGAGGGTTAGGTAGAGGCCTCCCACCCACCTTCAGAGCCCATCCCGGGTTAATGAGCTTGTCTCCCAAGGCCAAGGACTCTGTCCTGCTGAAGGGTAACCTTGCCCTGTAGCAGGGCGTGAACATGGCACGGGCAGCATCAGCTGTCCTCTGTCTGCCAGTCTTGAGGCAGGGTCTTGGCGGTAGAGGAGCAGAGGCCATGTACAACTTGCACTCCTCTCATGCTGAGGTCTGGTGACACTCAGGAGATGGAGTTCGTGTCCAGGCTTTTGCTACTCTGCCTGAGAGTAAGGGGTGAGGTGGGACATGCCATACTAACCCAGATTTTCTCCTGCGTGTGCCTTGCCTGGGGGGGAGTGACTTAGCACCCCTTTCTAGAGCACCATTCCCTGCCTCTGACCTTCAAGCTTGTCTTTCCCCTTTTCAGAGCTGTCTAGCTATCCTTCAAGACTCACTCGCCTCTTTAGTGGTCTTCTGCTTCTTTCCTCCTGGTTGTCGCCCTCTCACTATACCACTCCCCTCACCACTTGTCATTTTGAATTAAGAGATCCTGAGAAAAATGAACCATAGGTCCTCCAAATAGGACAAAACTTCTTATAGTTCTTGCCCAGATAGATACCTTTAGGTCTTTCCTGGATTTATTCAGGACCTGGTTGTTGGAGCAAGTACATGTGAGGCCTCAGTAGGCCATAAGTCTCTTTTTCATTTTTTTCCAGAATTCAGGTAAAATAACACACATGGTGACACATGAACCTCTGATTTAGTGCATATTTTGCAATTAGGGTGCTAGGTACTGTGAGGATCATGGCCTAACCAGGTGCCTACTGCCCAGGCAAGATGGCTGGAACTTGTCTCCTTTGTCTGTCTGTTCTCATCCTCAGCTGTCCTATGTGATGTCCGGGTACAGATGTTTTGTCTGCCCTGTGGAGTACAACAATGATACCAACAGCTTCACTGTGGACTGTGAGCCCTCGGGCCTGTTTCGGCTGCAGGAATACAATATTCCTGGGGTGATCCAATCGATCATTGGATGGGTATGTGCCGCTCACATGGGGCGAATGATCCTCGGCTGGTTAGTGACTACAAAGAGAGCCCCCTCTCTACCACTGCCTTCCCCCCAAAACCTAGCTTCTTCTCTCCCCAAAGCTGTAAACCCCAGGATGGAAGAGAATTGCTTAAGTGAGTTCAGGGTGAGGACAGGAGGAGATGTTTCCTCCTACCTCAAATTATTAAGACCAGAGTTCTGAAAATGTGCTTTTGGTTTCTGGGGCACCCTGAGATGCTTTGAGGGTATCTGTGAGATCACAGTTGTTTTCTTCATAACATAGTGAAATCATTTGCTTTTTCATTTTGTCATCATTTGCCATGGTGGTGCAAAAGCAGTGGTGGGTAAGCCTGCTGACACCATAGCATGAGTGACGGCAGTGGCACCAAACTGGACTGTCATTGGATTCATTATGCCACACACTCACAAGAAGACCTACCCAGCTTATCTTAACAGTGTCTTTGATGAAATAGTAAAATTACTAATTTTATTAAGTCTTGACCCTTGACTATACATCTCCTAATACTCTGGTGCCAAAATGGAAAGTATACATAAAATACTTCTGCTGAATGCTGCAGGACAGTGCTTAACTAAAGGAAGAGTTTGTGTGCACCTGTTTGAGTTCTGAGCTGTACTGGTGGCTTTTTTATGGGGACATAAATTTTAATTGAAAAGAACTGAGAAACTATAGGCTTTCATATATGGGTTTTTGGCAGACATTTTTCTTAAAAAGAAATGAAGTGAGATTTGTCACTTCCAGAAAACAACTGACAGTAATTGTTACCAATGATAAAATTTGGTTTTCAAGTAAAAATTAGAATTTTGGAAAGTATATACCTGCCACGTAAGTTTGATAACTTTGTAATACTTAAAGGCTTTTCTCGTGGGATCTGTGGTGATTTTAACATATGACATTTTGACATTGTATGGCAAAATGTGTCTACATATGGCAGATTTATGTAACTCATTGAACCAGTATTTTTGAAATGGCCAATGCATGGTGTTAACAGTCATACGTGGATAAAATGATCTATTCAAAGTGCTATATAGACCAATGGATTTTAATGTGAGAGTACAAAAAAATTATTGATAGGATTTCAGATTTCACATTGCACCAATTTTTTAGAACCCTATCATTTGTCAAGTTTTGGTGTAGTATCAGAAAAGAATCCCTGTAATTATCTGAAAAGACTGCTAAAATAATCTTCCTTTTTTCAACAATGTATCCTTATAGGACTGGATTTTCTTCATATACTTCAAACAAAACATATTGCTGTAGTCTGAATGCATAATATATTAATGTCCTCTGTTAAGCAGTGTATTAGAGATCTAGCAGAAACAGAACTCCTAAACCAGTCTTTTTTCTAATTTTGGGGGGGAGATATAGTTTCATAAAGAGGTGGTTTTTTGTCTTTTTTTTTTTTTAAATGGTAACAAGTAATAAGCCTGGGCTTGCAGGCGTCTGAACTGATTTCATTTATTCTTTTTAGAAAACAGTCCGGATGTACCCCTTCCAGATTCACAGCATTGCCCTCTCTACTTTTGCCTCGCTCATCGGCCCCTTCGGAGGGTTCTTCGCTAGTGGATTCAAACGAGCCTTTAAAATCAAAGTAGGAAAACGCTTTTTGTTCTCTCGTTGTCTCCTAGCCAGGCCCCTTCTCACCATCTTCTGCCTTCCTCCTCCTGTCTCACCTCATCAACTACCACCCCCTTCAAAATACCAGGCTGTGAACCCTGACTGTTAATGTGTGCTCTTCACCCATGCATGGAATTTAAGTAGGATAAAGGAAGATACATGGTTTCTAAGAAAATTCTGTGGTTGGGTTTCAGTTTTATGATAATCTTTTATGTTAATCTTTCTTCAAAAGAGATATTTATAATTTAATAAGATTGTATACTATAGCTTTAGCACCTGAATCAATACTTTTCACTTTCTGTTGCCCTCAGCTGTTGAGTACAGTAGGTGGACACTGAGGTGTGACCATAGACAAGGCTTTGACTTGGATGAAGCCAGGCTTACCAATCCTTTCCTTCCTCTAACAGGACTTTGCCAATACCATTCCTGGCCATGGAGGCATCATGGATCGCTTTGACTGCCAGTATCTGATGGCCACCTTTGTCAATGTGTATATTGCTAGTTTTATCAGGTATAGTACTTTTCCTCTGAACTAAGTTGGCAGATTTTAGAGTTTCATCTACTTCTCAGTTTGAGTGAAAAAAATCCCAAATATGAATGCAGTTTTCAGTTGCTATTAGTTATGGATTCTCTGAGGTCCCCTACCCTCCATTAGTAGAGAATCCAAGAAGGGAACAGCCACTAAGATAATCAGGCCCTTGAAGTTGCTTGGCCCCTGCTTTTCTCACTGTTGTTTCTTCATCCTCTTGCAGGGGCCCAAACCCAAGTAAGCTGGTTCAGCAGTTCCTGACCTTGAGGCCAGATCAGCAGCTCCATATCTTCAACACGCTCAAGTCTCACCTGACTGACAAGGGGATGCTGACAGCTGCCACAGAGGACAAGTAGGGGCCACCCAGGGCCAGGAGAGCAGAAACAGGGCTGAGTGAGGGGCAGGGCTCCCAGGCAAGCCTAGCTGGACAAAGACAAGCTTCAACTCACTTTTTTTTTTTAACCAGTATTTCTATTTGTGGATTAAAAAAAAAAAATCTGTGTATACAGTCCATATGCTTATGATCTCGGTTGTGAGTAACCTATAGCTTTGAGTTGGAAAGAAGTCAATTTTTGTTTTTAAAACCAAAGCTTTTAACATCCTGGAAGACAGTGTTGCCCAGCTCTGGAGTGCCTCCTTGGGGCTTCTAGCTCCTAAGCTGGAGCTTCCATTTCTGGGCCTGATCAGAGTGGACACTCGTCTGTGTTTGTCTAGTTTAGGGCCCCCACCACCAACTGTCTTCGTAGCTGACCCCCAGCAGGGAAGAGGTGCACAGCTTGGATGTCTTTACTACTGGAGTGCTTTTCCTGGACTTCTCAATGATCCCTGCCTTGGAGCTACAGGAGGGTTGCCTCCTGAGGGAAGAAGGATGAAGGCTTATTAATTAGATAAGCATTCTGTTCACGAAATGCTGTGGACTATGAGCTCTGCTTTTTGATATGGATTCACCTCACTTCATCACAGACTGAAGCAGTTTTCAGTTTTAATTTTTTTCAAAAAGCATGAAAAATTATAATAGTCTGGAAAAAAGCCACACTGTTCTATTTCAAGTGTATGCAGTAGGATGTACTGTAACGAGGTCTTTTCCCACAGGGTTTAGGCTCAAGTGGCTCCTATAGGGCAGTCGGCTAACTGGGTCTTTTCAGGGATGATGCTGTTCACATTTGTGCTATAGACTTGTTGCTGCTGAATCCTTTCTGGGGGCTTCCTCATGAGGCAGGGAGCAGAGGGCTTCTCATTCACACACCCATGCCCTTGACCTGGCTGACCACCCATGTAGCTGCTGTGTTGTATATATTAATATATATATATATATATTACTCTTAAGGCAAGTGTATATCTGTGTGTGTGCTTTAAAAATCACTTATTTCTTACAGTGATTTCAATTGTACCATGACTTCTTCACTGAAACCACAAAGTCCTGCTTACAACTCTGCATAACCCAATCCAGAGGTTTGAAGCTTCTGAAGGTTAAATGCACACTTGTATAATGTGACCAGTTTAAATGTAGTTTGTATTTTACAAGGGGACCTTTTTCTTTTTAAATTGTGATTTATTTATTTTTTCCTTTTAATTAGAAGAGTGAGGTTGACTTTTGGAATATACATTCTTTGTCAGGATAATAAGCAAGGGGTAGAGAAGAGATAGCTTGGTGCCCGAATGTGTGTCATTATTCTGTGCCATGGTGGTTCTCATTGCCAAACGGGGGTGTAACAGCTTGTTTCAGCTCCTTGGGCTGGAGGTGCTTTTCTTTGTTTGTGTTTATCTCAACCTTACTGTATCTGTGGACGCTCGCAGCCCAGCCCAAATCACTGAAGTGTCCAGCACAGGCCAGACCCCTCTCTGTTCACAATCACTGTGTGACCTTCTACATACAGCAGCTTCTTTCTTCTGAACTTTTATTTCCGTTTCAGTAAATGGCTTTTCTTTTTTAAGTCTAAGGCCCCCTTAAAAACAGAATGTGTTTTCAGTGCTGGCCATGTGACACTGGACAGAACACACCATTCTGTGGGTTCTCATTTTCTGAGCTGTCTTCTAATTCCCATATTCCATGATTCTGGCTGAGCAAGTATACGTATCAGAGGCTGCTTACAGGTATTGAGTCATGTCCTGGGCATGCAAAAATTAAGTGCTTACAGGGCTTTTCTAAATACTTTTCCTTAAAATGCTTGTCCTCAGCAGTAAATCTTAGAGTGGAGTACAGTAATGAATCTAGTTTTCTGAATGAAGAATGAACTTGGTTCCCCAAACCAAAGATAGAATAGCACTTCATTTGTCTCATGGTGCCCCACTGTGGGCAGATAGGTGGGTCCTTAGGGACAGGAAATCTCAGCTGGGACCTAGCAGCAGAGAGCCACCTTTGAATAGGGCCACCGTGGGGATCAGGGAGCCTGGCACATACCTGTGGACATGGCTGCTGATGAGGGTTCCAGGAAATGGCAGCTGGAAGCTCAACAGAGCTGCCATCCAGAGAGCCCGAGGGTCAGCTAGGATTTTGTTTTCTTCTGATTTCCCAAATGCTTTCTGGTGAAATAGGGGAATTTCGTGGGAAGTAGCCAGCAGACAGACACCGCCTTGTGTCTGTATAGCACATTGGTTTTCTTTCTCCCATTTATTGAAAATCTTTCACCAAACAGACAAGTTTCCAGAGATTGTTGTAACACACAGCTGTGCACATCTTAATGAGTGGCATAACTTGCTCTAGATCCATTTTTGTGTGTGTGTGAGAAATAAAAGTGACAAATTGTATGCCCTTTCTTGTCATGAATTCAGTTTCTTCCCTGTATGGTTTTATGTTTCCCACTTGATTTTGTGCAGCCCTTATTTAGAGATTTTTGTTTTGTTTTCCAGTTTGAATTCAGTGCATTCTCACAATAGCCTTCTGAGTTATCTCAGGTGAAAGGCATGAGCACTTTGCTGATGAGGAAGCTGAAGCCTTGGGGGGAACTTGAAATTGGGGGGAACTTGAAATTAGTAGGTTTGAAATCTAATGTCTCTTTCAGATGGGGCAAAATGTAATTTTTAACCTTGTACAGGTAGACTTTGAAACAGTTTATGGTATTTTATTTTTTCCCCACTGGGCTTTTTTTATCCTGTAACTTATATTGTATAAGGAGATTCCAAAAATATATTTGAATAGAGACTAAACAGACCCTTTGATTTGAGTGAACTAGTTGCTGAGTTAGCTGGAGACTGGATCCTTAAGTTCAGATCCTCAGACTGTCAGCGAGACCCTACCAGGCTCAGGAGCATCCCTGACATTGCCAGGAGTCAGGGTGTGTGACTGACTCAGGGCAAAGAGCGTCATTGCTTAGAAAACTGGAAAGCAGTGGCCTTGCTCCATAAGAAACCTGCCCAAGGTTGGTTTGCAAGGAAGTAGATTTGTATTATTCTAATAGATGTGGCACACCTGAAACTTCTTCTTGGGTCACTGATATCTTAGGCACCATTGCCTTTTGTTTTGGGAGTTACTCAAGTTGTGCCCACCTTTCTTGTGCATTGTGATTATGTGCTGAGGAAAGGGGGGAGTGTGGAGGGGATAGTTTCCCTTAGGCCCAGGGTTCCTATTCTTCCACAGTCAAGGTGGGAAGAAAAGGCTATAAGGAGGATGTCTAGGTGAACGTGTACACACATCACAAGACAACAAACCACGGGCCAACCTACTGTGCTTCTCTGCAGCAGGGGCTCTGAAAGAGTGTCTGGAAAAAACCATCAGCTCTGAAGAGAGAGTCTGACTCTTGGGCACTATTCTGTCCTTGTCTTGGTCAAAACAAACTTCCTTTTCCCTTGATCACTCTCCATGCAGTTACCCAGCTTTTGCTTATGAAAGAGATTACCCACTCCCACCTCCTGACTTGTTTCCCCTTGTTGGATGGGGGCCTTGTGGCACAACCTACACAGGGTGCTGGATTTGGACCAAGTGGGGATAATGAGCCTAATTTAAGGGCTCATCCAGGCCTGCCTCCTCTTGGTCCTGGACCCTGCTTACCCATATTCCCTGCAGAAGATGGGCCCATTCTCAACAAGGAGTGTAGTCCCAGCTGCTGACTGCCTATTTCTATTTGAAGGTGGTTCCATCTTTCTGTTCCTCCCAGCACTATCCCTTAACCCTTTCAGGTTGACCAGCAATGACCATATTCACCTGGGCTCTCAGGTGGGCTAGAGGCTGCTCTTCTTACCTGTGACTGCCTCTTGACAGAGTAAGGCTTTCACCTGTCCACATGTGTCACCATGTTTTCAAAGGCAAAGAGATTTCAGCTGTGAGGGTGGCTTGGGAGGTATACTTTGGGTGCTGAAGTGTTGGTGTTTTAGGACATGTAGATAATTTATGAGAATAGAATGCCAGAATAGGTGAAATCTAGAATTTCATGGCCAGTGGCTTTCATATCCATTGGCTCTTGAAAAGAAGCCTCTGCTTCCCCTCTTAACCAAATGCCTATCTGTTGAGGCTCCTTTTTACTTGAGTCATTAAGTTACTGGCATTGTGTTTATTAATAACTGCTTAAAAGTGCCAGGCACAGTGCTAACGATACATTATCTCTTTTAATCCAGAGAACACCTTTGATCGGGTATTGCCTCCATTTTATACACGAGGAAAATGAGGCATCATGACAGGCTAAATGCAGTGGTTATGAAGATAGACTTTGGGCTCAAATAGCCCTGGGTTTGGGCAGGTTACTATGTACAATTCCAGCTCACTTGGCTCTGATCATAGCACCTCCCTTTCTGGATTGTCGTGAGGATTTTGAGATAATGCATGTAAGCATTTAGCACAGTGCCTGGCACATAGTTTTTATTGAATCCTGCTGGTAACTTGAACCCAGAATTGTGTAACTCTGGAGACTGGTTCTCAGGCACTACACTGCCCCTACCCTGTACACAGCCTGAGTGTTCAAAGTCTAGACAGTGACCACATTCAGAGAGAAACAGTCCAACCTTAACACCTGCCTACAGCATCTGAGTGCGTCCCACTTCATTTAGAAAGCCAGCCTGATGAAACGAGGATGTAGACAGGTTCCTGAATTCTCCCTTCCTAGTAGGAATGGTTTGCCTGAGGTCTTGCTCACCTCCTGCTGCCCCTGGTCTGATTTCCATGGGGAAGGAGGCCCTTTCCTCTCGCCCACTGGTGCCGCCCTCCCTGTGACTTGACTCAGTGTTCCCCTCTGCCCTGTGCACACAGCTCAGGAGCCTGCAGCACTCCTCTGGGCAAGTGGATGTGGTGGGGGCCAAGAGGAATGGGAGAAAGACCTTCTCTGTAGCAGATGACAGTAGAGAAGGAAGGCCTAAAAGTTTTCACTTATGTCCTTACATATAACAAGTCAGGGGCTTTGTGTTTCTTGCTTTCTTTAGTGATAACAGTGTTATCTTTAGTGATAACAGGGTTAGATGGCAGGTGGCCACTTGGGGATAGATGATGGGGGTTGTTTCTCTTGGATTCTAGGTTAGCAAAGGATCACAGGGGTGATTCATGAATGGAGACTGGGCACTACATTGAATGAAAACTATTTCTTTTAGTTTTCCGAATGCAGACAGAGGAGTGGGGGAGGATATGTGTGAAGTAGACCATTCTTCATTGAAGAAATGGCATTGACAGGAGGGATCCGTGAGGTTGAGCGGATAGAATAATAATGACCTAGAACCACTGGCTTGACTGGCCTGTTTCCTGAGTGTTAGTGTGGAATGAAGACCAGGCCCAAGGGCCATTGTGTTTAAGTGATAGTCTCTCCCTTTCAGTTAATTGATGAAGTAATGATTATGACAGGAAGCAGGAACATGGTTGTGGAGGGATGGTAAGCAGCTGCTGTGATGGACTTATCCTGGGCCTGCCCTCCCACTCTTCGGGATGCGTGCTTGCAAGGCCTGGCACTGGCACTTCCTCACTCATTGTTAAATCTAATGGACCCAGGCAGCTTTTTATCTGTAGAGAAAAAAACGGCTCCAAACTGGGGGCAGTGACCCTCTGGGCCTTGGGCTAAAGTTGCTTCTGATGTGGTCTCCCAGGTATCGGGCAGGGCCGAGCTCTTTGAAACCTCCTGAGCACTTATGTAGTGCTCAGAGGCTGTAGTTGGTTTAGCAGCTGGCGAAATTCCTTGCTGACATCACCATAGCGCAGTCCCTATCCTCAGCTGCTGGAGTACCCATTTCTCACCTCCATTATTAAGTTCATGTGTTGGTTTTGCCGGCTTTGTGCCAGGGAGTACCAGAATAGGAAGGGGGTTGAGAAGGTACATACATCTTCTTGTAAGGATGTCCTTTGTGTGCTATTGCATTTAAATCCACAGACACAGTTCTGTGTGGCTGCCTTATGTCACAATGGCTGGGTATCTGGGAGCTGATTACAAACGGAAAGAGCTGAGCAGGCATCAGGGCCAGTATAATCAAAGGACTTGGAGCCAAGAGAAAAAAAGGCAGGGGCAGGGTACAGTGGTTTGTTGTTGTCCAGCCAGAGCACTGTTGAGAAGCCCCAAGGGGTGGGGGCAGGAAAAGCACAGGTAGAGGAGACCAGCCTGGTGTGTCTTGCGGGTGTGGGGACCAGGAACTGTGCTCAGAAGGCCGTCCATGGAGCCTCAGTGCTCATGGATTGTGGATTCTCTTCTGGAGTTGATGATGATACCAAGTTTTCATTTTTATTGATGTTTAATACTTTCTAAAAACAGGAAGAGAAGACAAAAGTGTTAGAAGAGGCCCCTCTACTGAAGATTGTTGGGAAGCCTTGTGGTGTGGGGTGAGTCAGGCACTTTCTCAGTTCTGTTTACCCTGAAGGTCTTTTAATGAGAAGGTTTCCCCAAACATAGAAATGATCTCCCTGGCCCCACTAGGAAGTGCCTTGTAGTCAAATGAAGCCCACTGCAGTGTCTCAGACAGTAAAGAATCCACCTGCAGTCCATGAGACCTGGATTCAATCCCTGAGTCAAGAAGATCCCCTGGAGAAGGGAATGGTTACCCACTCCAGTATTCTTGCCTGGAGAATTCCATGGACAGAGGAGCCCGTGGGCTACAGTCTGTGCGGTCGCATAGAGTTGGATCTGACTGAGCAACAAACACTTTCACTTTTTTTGGTCCTGGCCCTGCCTCTGGCATTTCACTAAATCTGTGTGTTTTTGCCACAGCTGACCTTTCTCTGTGCACTGTCTGATAGTATTGAACTGATTCTCTTTCAGTGCAGTGTCAGATCATGATAAACTGTACCTTGGAAAGTAATCATATTTATATATCTGTATCTTCCCACTACACAAATAAACACCTGTTAAATTCTAGATCGTTTGTGGTATCTGTTGGGGGGAGTGCTAACTTGCTATGAGATATGGGGGTTGTTCATATGGAACCAGTGTCACTTTCCAGGATGCTGCCAACCAATCCCTGCTTCTAGAGACATCCTCTGCCCTTGACCTTCACCACTTGCTCTCCAGCTTTCTGCCTTTCCTCCTCCTGCCTTGGCTGCTCCTCCTCAGTTGCTTTTCTGGGCATCTCTCCTCCCACCAGTCCTGCCCTGAGATGGTAGATTCTGCCAGAGACTCTCTCCCCCCCACC